TATATTTCTTATAATGATTCATAAAATGTTCTACAGTCTATTACAATAATTTCAATCACCTACTTTATTCAACTAAAAATTGCCTGATTTATTCCCATGATTAGCTTTCAATGTAAATGTATGTTTCTTATATTCAAGGTGACAGAATTTATCCAATGTCTGTTTTAATCATGTCAATACGTTTTTTATAATAAAGTTGTTAACTCATGTTGTTCGATGATATTCTCAGTAACAATAGTTAACTAGAGGCGGATAGATATAAAATTCATATTCTAATAAGTAAGTATAGTCAAAATGTGGCATCAGTGCTTGAAGTCACTAACTTCTAGTCTGAGCCATGTTAGGAGATGCAGAGTACTTGTTTGGGGTTCGCGTGACTATCGTAACCAAGGTGTATACACTCTCTGTCTTCCCTTGAACTAAGAGATTAAAATCGCTTCATATCTTTCTACGAACTAATTCTTTCTTCCTGTACTATATCCTTATTGCAATCTTTTTTTTTATATATTACCCCCATTAAAGTAACTACGTCTATAAATTTGGTGTTCATTTTGCTTTGCTAATGCGGTATGGCAATTTGGACCGATGCATATATGTGCCTGGTCCTACGTTGTAGCTGACTGACTGACTGACTATAGTCAATAATTAAAATATTTTTACTGCTAATAAAGAACGACAAAAAATTAACTATTTCATACTATTGATAATAATGGTAACAAAGTCATGGTAGTGTATATATAGTTTGTTTGAGATTTTTGTTTATATATTTAGTAGAGGAATAACAAAATATAAATCGATAAGGAACAAAACAGCATTTATAAAACCGTATATCATAACGGTTATAGGGGAAAATATCTGAAAATTATAACAAGGAATGTAGTACTAAAAGTTGATCGGACATAAATAAATGAGAGAAGACTATCTTATCATTCTCTTAAAACAAAACATGATTCCTGATTCATTATAACTAAACTGAGAAAGGACACAAAGAAACCACTTCTGTCATATGGGCATCAGCTTTACCATTCCTTACATACTAGCATTGCAATTAAATAACAGGTTTCGAGCTCAGTCTATTCTGTCTATTTGCAAGTCTGCTGCTTCCACGTAGACGAATAAATAGGCAGAACAACCCGCTAAACCTATCAAATGTAGTTACTCAATGTAATAAATAGGTGCGATTTGATATATCTTCACAGTACTTTTCCATAGAGTTATCCTTTTAAGGCAATTTTATATGAAGAATAAGTAAATTAAATTTAAATTAAAGATCAAATAAACAAAAAATTACGATTTAATATGTGAAAGAGAGATGACATAATACAGGGGTAAAAAGCTATCCTCCGGCCCCTGAGATTAAGATGGATTACACATTACCAGGCCAGACTCAGAGAGGTGAAAAGTTGTTTTCGTTCATCCTGCGCAAAGTTAACTTTAAGGAGATAGTTCTGGTAAGATCAAGTGACCGAAATTGTTAAGCCACTCAATAAAGAGACTAATAATCCTTACAAATTCATTATCACATAACCATGCAGATAATGCTTGGAGATGCAATAATAAAGAATAGATTTTTTCAGGTCAATATGTATTGGAGGTGCTAAAAACGTAACTGCCTAAAATTCAAATGCTTTTTTGTAGCCAATAGCTTATTCCAGTAGTGTCATGTAAAGACTACCATGTGCAGACAAATTAATATATATCAACTACTTAACTTGTTCCTGTGCAACGGCTTTTAATGGCAAAACAAAGTACGCGCTTTCCAACCATCTACAAAACCTTAGGTATAGTATTTTGTCTCGTCCGTCACCTTATCGTATAGCTATTAGATAACATTAGTTAATGAATAAATATTGTAATTCACCTATCAGTATGATGGTTTTTACATAAGACAAGACCGGATTTTCAGTTTTTAAATTTTATATAATATTTATTTCTATAAGTATCTGGTTTATAATGATTTTCATTTAGAACCCACGATTGTCTATTTTTCCTGACATAGTCTTCAATCATATGTATGTATACATTAGCCTAAAATGTAATTATATCAAGAATTCTTCCTATTCGAAACTTTTCTTTTAAGTTATTGAAATTAATCAATTAAACTGTCAATGATTCGATAAAACAAATCGCTATTAATTACTGTGTAATGATATCACTATTATAAACGATTAGTTATTAGTATACATTTAACATTATCTATCTTTACAGAAAAAAACGTTTGCTAATGTATTACTTTTAATAAAAATAAAAGTATTTCTATTGCTTAGATAAAACATTAATTCACTATTCAGTTTCTTTCATTATATTAGACAAAATATTTCATCATTCATTTTTCTATCGGTTGTTTGAATCCTCCCATTGAATTTTAGGACTGAGATCGATCAGTCTCTTATTTGACATATGTGCATCATACACACATGATTGCCTCAATATTACCTTCAGTCACAAGCATTATAAGTAGAGATAGATGAAGGCTAACAATAGAATCCGGGACGCGCCTTTCGTTCTATTTGGAACTCGTTAGTTGGATGTACCTGAATCTCAAAGATGATGTTCATTTCGTGACTTGAACCCAGTAGCATTCACATTGATATTAAGGAATATTCAAACATCCAGCACAAAAGCGAATTTAAACTTCACCCCATTGCACAAGCTAACTGCTATCAGGACTCAGCAGCTAAGTGGATTACATGATGGCGTTTACAGAGAACGGTACTTAGCTCAAACCTCGGAGAGTACATCAACTTTTGGACTCAGATTCACCCATCTGACGAATCCCAATTAGGATGAAACGCGTGTCCTGGATTCCACTGCTAGCCATTATCCATCTCCGCTTAAAATACATCATCATTTATAGAGACTTTTATGTCTATAAGAATATTGAATACTTATTAGTAATACATATATATATCAAATTGGGCGACAACAAACATATTCGCTTAACGAATCTTAAAGTATCACTAGAATTGTGTTTCTAAATCATTCATTTTAGCGATCAGTTTAAAATAATGGAGATGATTTGGTTAACTAAAAAAATCCTATATTCATTATTAATGATGCTAACCAGAAAATATATAAGTAATCTCAATCTTGTTAAATGTGTGATTACATTTTATCTGTAAACTGATGTCCTGTTTTAAAATACTAACAGAAAGCCATAAATATTCCAAGGTATCACAACACTTTTATTCGTTTTCAAAGCCTGTTCATATTTTTATGAAACATTGACCTATTTACCAAAAAAACTAGCCATTTATTTGTTATTGAGGATGTTTTCTCACAGTAAATACTTTCATTGAATTAATGAATTACTTTTCTATAATAGATTTAAATAAGCAAACCAAATACGATAAACGTGTGCAAGTTACAATGAGTTCATTCTATATCTGTGTGTGTGTGTGTTTTCTTTTTCATAGCACATTATCGAGTAAATTTTATTAGTTCAAAATGCTAACTTACTTAAATATAAAGAAACCAATTAATCAACAGGGAACAATAAATTATTTGACTATTAAAATTTTGAAGAAGTTTAAAGTAACAATGATTTTTTTTATTGAGACTTTAATGTAGCCAAATGTTGTAAGAGAAGAAACGTCAACTGCATTATTATAAACAATCTTTATTAAAAATGCTTGATAAATTGAGATTAAAAATATTTTGAGTTAAATTCAAGTCTAACTATCATTAAATACTGATTAAAAATTATTGAGTCTTGAGTATTTATCTAAACTCCGCCTGGAGACCTTTTGGGGCTACTGCCGGTCTCAAGCCCGGCTGTGTTATATCGTTTCATGATGAAAGCTGAGTTCCTTCGGAAGTCACGAGGCTGACGACCCTTCTGACAACCAGAGAAACCATTAATTTAGGTACATGGAATGCTCGTACAATGTGGAAGACCGAGAGAGTCATCGAAATTGCTGCAGAAATGAAAAGACACATCCTGGAGGTGTTGGGAATCAGTGAAACACTTTGGACGCAAGCTGGAAAACAGGAACTATCTTCAGCAGATCTGCTTTTACACACCAGCCATGAAGAAGAAAGTGCCCGACATACGCAAGGAGTTGCACTGATGCTATCCAAACAAGCACCAATAGAAAAAAACTGTTTCTTAGTTGTTATTATTATGGTGTAACTATATCTTTGTACAATCATCCCGTTATATGTTCATAGATGACTGTCAATTTAAGGTGTATGTTCCGATTATGCTAATATTTTAAGCTGTCTAAACTCATTAATTTGTATGTATATTTGAAAAGAACAATCAAATATAATAAAATTCAATATATTTAGAAAACATTATTCATTTTATTTCATTTATATTACTGATGAGAATCAATTGTATAAATTTTCGATCGAAAATTCAGCTAAACGATATATATATATTGTCATACTCTAAAGAAGTGGTTTCCATTGAGTCACGAAACGTCAGGAAGACAATTTCCTACTCAATGAGATATTATACATATATATAACTCTCTACACAAGACTCAATTTACTTAAAATTATTAAGTCCAACCTTAGCACTGATACCTAGAAAATCAGTTAAGTATTAGCCCCCTGAATAAATTTTTATTTGTAAAGTAATAGTAGAACAATTTTAAACATTTTAACTTGAAAACTTGTTAAAAATATTTTCTTTTACCATTACTGAAATTTAAACCTCTGACATTAAATTATGAAGGAAAGTTTTTTAGTTAAATTAATGTATGAAATAGAAAACAAACAAAAACATTCTTTTTTACTCTGGAGATAATTTTATTTTAGTTTATTAAAGAAATAACTTGTTATTTACTGATTACATATAGTTCTATAGTTGTTAGATGTTAAATACATTTCAACGTTTCTTCTGATATGTATTTCCCGGTAATGTATAAGGTAGTCACCTCGAGATTGATAATGGTAAAATTAAATAATGAATAAGGATTTTGTGATTTTGAATATGACAAAATTATTTTGTATGTATGTATGTTTACAATGATACACATGTAATGTTTACGCAGGTGACACAACTACTTGGTGATTCCAATGAAGCAAAACTAGATATTCAAGATATTCCATGCATACACTGTTGGAATTATCTAATGGCTTTGTTGATATTATTCTTTGGATTACTGGTAAGTCATTTTATGCATATAATTATAGTCGTTTTGTTGGTAGTTTATGATTACATATTAAAACTAGTAAATTCAAAAATTTACAATTTAAGTTATATCACTGATTGAAGATGAAAAATATTGGTAACATTTATACGGATATTACAAGGATGAGAAAGATGTGTTTGTTTTACACATGTGGTATACAAAGGAATTCCAACGAACTAATGATTAGATGATCAATACAAATACATATGTCTTCGTTAACAATGATAAGTTTGGTTACAAACTTTACAAAGAAAATATTTCTTCAGTACAGACTATTTCTGTTTCAATGAAGTTGTCATGAATTTAATTTTTCCTCTTCAAAATTTATATTGAATAAGTTAATCATTACAAATTAAGAAATAAATCTTTTTTTTTTCTAAATTAGTAGAAATTGGTAGTTTCATATGTTTATTAGATTTCATTGAAAGATTTATGGTAATTCTATATGACCTATTGTAGATCATTTCTCATTTGAATATGCTTTGAATCTTACTTTTTTTTCATTTCTAATTTATGAAATTTAATATGTTTTGTTACATGAATGACATTTATGTGCATAGAAATAATGTAGCGTTCCATGGTAGGTCATCTTTAACTTCATATACATATATATACATAATACACTTTGAAAGACGTTTTTTACAGGTATGGAAAATTATTAAACACAATATTATTGAAAATCATATATATAAATAGGGATTATGATGAATAATAAATTATAATACATAACCGTCCGTGGAATGTTGAATTAAATCCACATGCATAAATGTTATTTCTGTTCAATAACGGAAAATGTCAAATCTAGTAAATCACAAATCTAAACTTGGGATTAAATGAACACTGCATATATATAGTGGCCCGGGATCTGTCTCATATGAATGGTTGCTGTTGAAATATATATATATATATATATATATATATATATATATATATATATATATATATATATATATATATATATATATATATATATATATATATATATATATATGCTTGGATTCTGTAAATTTCAAACACAAGAAAAGTGTTATCTTGATGTTTATTCAATTTTAACGCCAATAAATGAATTTCAAAAAGTCAATTAAACGGCATAATTTATATTTTGATCACATGGTTTTATGGATTTCATCATGTACACGAATTAGTGTTTCCATGCTTTTTAGTTTACCAACGTAGTGTAAATTAGTCATATAATATATAATAAAGTGCAGTGAAGAGAGAATATAAGTGTCAATATTTTAAGATGAATATTAAATCTTCACTAGTAATTCCGAAATTCGTGTATTTCAGTCCTTGATAAATTACAATGAAGTTGCCTAAAACTGCTTTTTGAATGCGAATAAAACTCACTTATTCATGGAATAAAATGTGACACTGAACATAATATTAAAACGTACAAATGGTTGTTAGACAATATTTCTATGAAGCGTTGTATACAGCAAAATACCTTAAAGAATTGTAGAAAAGTATTAAACATTTAACAATGTAATAGATATATGAAATTTAAAAAGAGTGATTTCGATTAGAACATGTTTATCAAAGGTAACATGAAATCATGTACTGTCAAAAATGTAGTGGACAACCACATAATTACTAAATATTCAAACCATTGTTAATTTGAGATTGGTAGAATATCATCTGGATACATAGCTAAAAATGTGATCCATATTTTCCAGCTTTATTCAATCCTCTATAAAGCGAAACTTTTATTCAAACTCTAGTAAATGAATTAACCCATTTGAAATCAGGTTTTAAAAAGTATGCTTAGTCATTACTTGGTATTTTTTTAAAACATGTATAACATAAAACATTTTCACACACCAAATGAGTTTCTATTTGAGAAATATTGTTTATGATCATAAATGTCATCACGAATGATGTCGGTCAGATATTTACAAATCACTAGGAGCAATTCGTTTATGAAATGTTTCATATAACAAAAAATTTATCATATTTCCCATTAATTACTAATTGATGATAATTAGGTCACTATGTGTTCCTGTGAAGCTAAGGATATTGTCATTCATCAAGACCTATCATCTGTCACATTTGAAAATATCTACCATCTTGATTCAGTAACGGATAAGTTAAATTTTTTACATTCTCTATTCTAAGGTATATAACAAATTTAAATTTCTTGTTTATGATTATCCATGAAATTTAAGATGACATTTCTAAAGGTTTATGTCTAGTTTACTCTAACTTTCAGTATCGAAGTCATTTGAAATTGTGCTTACGGAAGCTATTTATAAGATGCTTATTGTTTCCATAGACTTTATTTCATAATACTTTATTTTTTTCTTAAGATCTACACGAGTAATTGTCAATAGTAAGTATTATTATGAATGTTTGACATGATAATTTCAAATAGATTGATCGTTGAGTATAATTTTAAGACACGAAATATTCATATTTATTTTAAAGTTCGAGCGTTTTTTTAAAAAGAAAATATTAATTCTATTACTTTATTAGGAATCGCTTCAATCACACAATGATTGACCACCATACATATTATATACATTTTATTGTAAACTTTTGACTAACTATACTCTTAATCCTTTAGGTTACCCTGGTGATTAGGTGTTTTTAACTCTTTACAAATTTCATACACATAGTTCCCTTTATCATTTTGAAAAGAGCAAGAACAAACAGTCTAGCAGAATAGCATGAATTCAGTTTATTTCGTTGGTTCTCGTCAGCTGCTTACAAACTGTGATATTTAAACATCGTAATTACATAATGGGTTTAAATTTCTTACATGAGAGGGTTTAATTGGAAGTTATATTGAAGATATTTTAGTATAGTTTAGCAAGAGTGTAAATAAATTTAGTAGACTGAATATTGTAAACATATACCTTATGTAAAAGAACATTCTACAACATTGATTGTGACAACAGTTCAAACGGCTAGAAACAAGTGATTATATAATGAGTAAATATTGATAGGAATAAAATGAGTAGAGTTCAGTTGATAAAATAAGATTATCAATTTGGAAGATAGTCGGAATAAAACTCAATGATGTAATAAATGCAAGATAGAGCTTAAAGAAAAAGGAAAAAAATATTAAGATACAGAGAACGAAAATTAGTCACAAAGTCAAAGAAAGAATAATGATCATCTCCGTTTAAACATATAAATCAGGTTTTTGGCATTTGATAGCAACGGCTTCAGCAAACTTCAGAAGACCGGAGTTTGGTTACTTACTAATTGGTTCATAACTATCCATTTCACTAACATAATTAGTTCGTTTATTTCCTGGTCATAATTGACTATTATACTGAATAAGCAAAACCTATATAGGCGTACTCAACTTGAAAATAAACCCAGTTTAAAGAGTTACATGATTGGACTGAATGCTATCTCGGTTTAACCTGAAATAAAAAAGAATGACATTAGTCGTGTATATACTCTTAAAATCATATCTTAGTGAGTAAACTGCCTAGCTCATTCTAAACTAAACTGTTATATTTTATTTTTTAAAATTCTAAATACTATGATAAAATATTTGCTTGAGAAATATAACAGAAATTGGATTTGTTGAGTCGACTTTGGCTAGACAACCATAAAAAATACAGAAATCAATGAACAAATATTTCGTTCTAGCTTGTGAATCTAGATGAGGACTCTTATACCTGATAGCTTCCTGATTTCTAAGGGTTGCTTAGTTAGAATTCGTTTGTATTTAGTATAAAGTGCATAAATCTTCTTAGAGAACATTATGAGTCTGTAGTGGTCGGTATCCGATATAATCCTTAACTTCGTATACAGTTCGTCTTGATAACCGTCTTATATAACGCCCCAACGGTATATTAATCAGAAGGCAAATACGAAGTGTTGATTACGTTTATTGCGAGACCACACACATATATCCAAATGTACGGATGCGTTAAACAAGCATAGAAGAGTTGTGCCGAAAGGCAAGCAAGCGAGCGAGAGCCAGAGCAAGAGCGAGACGAGAGCGTGTGAGTGAGTGTTGAATATGAATAACATGGACATATATATACCAAGTGAAATGAGTGAGTAATCGAATCGAATAAGCGGTTAGTAGTAAGACTAGCAGAGTGAATAAATGCGTAGGCAGTAATCAATATTCAAGCATACGTGTTTCATACAAGCACAAAATAATAAGGGTACAATAAAGTGTTATAGTGCGGATGACTTTGTCCGCTAAATAAGTTAGCAAACGGGCTTAACTGAGTTAAATGAGAATAAACCCATTTGCACGTGAGTCGCTATAAGTCAATAATTGAAAAGTAATTTTAGTCACTCTATTTCGTAATCTCTAATAAAAGTATTATTTTAACTTTAAAAATACTTAAATAGGTAAGTTCATCTGTCCGTAAATAAAACGAGAATGTCCCATGAAAACAGCTTTCGTCTACTAATAAATCGATCCCCATGCTAAATGTATTTATCGAAGTCCAAAATTAAAAGTGATCATTTATACAAGTATGCATATAATGTATTATACAGACGTAGGAACTATACAGGAAATAGAAAAAAGCATTCCTTTACGCATTACCGACAGTTCATATATATCTATGGAATTTGAATATTTTTCCCTACACACTTCATAGACAAAAAAATAAAGGAAACATCATGTGAATTGAGTCGCCTGTCAAAAATATCTCTAGCAATTCAATACTAAATACAGTTCAAAGAATCACTATATAAGTTAAAGGTGACTATGAAACAAAATGAGAATATGATAAATGAACAGGTTCAATGTTATTTCTTTTAAAAGACAAACGAAGATAACTAATTGGGAGATTGCTGATACAAAACAAAGTTGTTTCATATACAAAAATAATGAATTAAATTTAATGCAAGTCACTGTCACAGAAGGATTGATGCATTGATCATTCGGTTACTAATCAATACAATATATTAAGTAAACAACAGGGCTTTGAGTGTAATATCAGATTTTTACTTGAACAACAAATACGAAATTGCAACCGATTTATCGGGAACGATATCTAATAGAGTTTTATCGGATAGAAGTTTGGCTATATTTAAAATCCTAAATAACCTTGTTTAAACTACAGTTCGACAAAATACTAAATGAAACATTTGATTATAAAAAGTAAGTAACAACGACAGATCCAATTCAAAAATTAGTTATTCAAATATATAAATAACGCTTGAAACAGGAACACTTTTCCTGAATTCAACCTATCCATTTATGAATGCATCTGATATAATGAAACTAGTTTTTAATAACTTATGGTAGAGAACAATGATTTTACAAACATGACTTCATACTTACATATATCTTGCATTGGTGCATATAAACGTAGAATGCTGTTTTCCATTAGAATTACATCAAGCTTCACTCTAATTAGCAAAACAATTTATATAATTATATGGAAAATATTAGACTAAAAAGATCGCGTATCTATTCATAATACGTAAAAGAACCGTTTGTTAGTATGATCATAGGTAATGTCGTAGTGATAAGAATAATAACAGTCTAAAAAACATTTATATAAATTTTCTTCTATACTTGAACGAATAGTTTCACAGTAGTTGTACACCGAGTTAACATAAAATATTAGAAGTAAAAAATTGTATTTGTAAAATATCATATCGTAAATCCAACATCGTAAAGGAATTTTGCAAATGATCAGAAGGGCCTTAAATGATCAAAATATAAGACGGTTCTTTCAAATAAAAAGTACTTTAATCTCTAAACTAGTAAAAATCAAAGATTCACTAAGAAAAGTGGAACAATAAAATTGCATACATGAGATGAAATGTAGTAATTGTAATGCTGTGTTATATGAAGGTGAGGCATTACGACAATTTAATATGAGGTTAAAGGAATACAAACTTTGTTTGAAGTGTATTCCTAAATCGTCAAATGACATGAAAAAAATAAAAATAAAAACCGGGTCGAAGATTTCATTACACTCAATAGAGTCTGGTCATACAATTGATTTCAAGGCCATTAGAATCTTTTTAAAAGGTTTTAGCTCTACAGAGAAAGACTAACAGCTGAAGACCTACAGATATGTGCAAATCAAAGCGGTATTAATAGGAAAGGTGGGATAAAACTAGCTGTCCTATGTCAAATAACGTTTAATAAGTAAACGTGAACTCCTTATTCACTTGATCTATCATTTATCACCTGAACAACAACGATTACTTTCAACTGTTCTAATCAGTTGGTTAATCCGAATATATGATGAACAGTTAACTTGATCAACACAACAACACAAATATTTATTTTAAGGGAATAACGCAATGACGTTTGAAGTGAACAGTACTGGGTTCAAGTCACGAAATGAACATCATCTTTGGGATTCAGGTACATCCAACTAACGAGTTCCAAATAGAACGAAAGGCGCGTCCCGGATTCTATTGTTAGCCTTCATCTATCTCTACTTATAATGCTTGTGACTGAAGGTAATATTGAGGTAATCATATGTGTATGATGCACATATGTCAAATAAGAGACTGATCGATTTCAGTCCTAAACTTCAATGGAAGGATTCAAGCAACCAGTACAAAAATGAATTCATTTTTGTGTTCGTTTATTTTTTTTCTATTCACGATTGATATACTTAACTCATATCATCTATAAAATCGTCTGTTTTCATAGAAAAATTCACCGATCACAAGCGTAACAGTCAATGAAGTTTTTTCTCTCACCTTAGATCTGTTTACACATACATACAGCTGATAACTTAACATATTTCTTTTCATCAAATGTCTGATACTCACTATAGCAAGTTCTTACTATCAACATTGTTAATATGATTGGATGATATGTTTGGTGTACAATTACTCGGAGAATCATGTACTTATTTATGTTCGATAATACTAATAGTTGATCATATTTCCCTGAAAAAAGAATTGTTCAGATTGCCAAACGAAACGTGGGATTTACTTAAAATGTTAATCAATCTTTAACATTGGAAGCAGGCCAATAGTCAGATAAAAATCAACACTAAAATAACAATTATTAAACATTATCAAAATTACGTGGCAAAAAATGTAAGTTCGATAGTGAAGAAAAATAAACGAACAATTATGTGGAAAATAATTACGACAATAACAGCAATAGATAAAAAAGCTTTTGTTAAACTTTATCTTCTAGGGGCTGGTACCCTATCGAACCCGTATAGTTTATTCTAGCCTCTGGACAGACCAATCTATTCATTCTTCTCAAACCACATATTCGCCCCGTCACGTATTCGCTTATTAATCCTTACTGTTTTTTATATGATCGTATGTGTTCTAATTACTTATCCTACTCATTATGTGTCTGTTAATTATTTTGGTTTGATTATAATTATGAATTTACGCTTGACTAAATGGAACTGGCTCACTCGCCTTCTCCACCATGCGTTATTTTGTTATGCTTCGCTTCACGACCAACAATTGTACGAAATATACATATCCAAAAATCCATTCTCGCATTTGACTTATTTAATTCCACTGTTCACTAACATGATTTAAGTCGGTGATTACATGCGAGTTTAGCCCGGATGTATATTTCGAGAACAATCAATCGATAACGATCATTCGTCAAATTTAACTGGAGTCAGCCATAAGGCCACTAAAATCTGGTTAGCGATAAATCATAGTCTTATCTAATGGATTTAGCTTAGTATACTTAAGTTAACGATAAGGGAAACCCACGAACTTTGGAATCAACCAAGTAGTAAGCAAAATAATAATTCATTTATTGTATGACACAAAAAATTAACCATATGAGAAATCAACTGAATTTATATCTGTTAACAACTGAACAAGTCACTCAGTAATTGATATCGTACTATTCTCAAGACGTAAAGTTTTCTTTAGAAAACATGATTTGACTATTTCAGATACCCTCGAACTAGTATGAAATTATCTTCTAGTTCTCTTTGGTTTCACATAATTTTCCAGTGAATGAAAGCTATTTATGTTATGAACATTTTTAAACAAGTTAGTTTATGAAATGACAAGGAATTTTCATCTATTGAAATATGATGTTATATAGTTATACACTAAATTCTAATAACCTAATTCATCATTTTATAAAACGTTTCTCAAATTTTCTAGCTAATAGGATTTCCGACACCACATAGTAACTGGTTTCTTCAAAGATTATTTCCAATCTCAGATAACTATGATAATACAATATTAACTGAATCTTGCAGTATTCCAAGAGAGTTTAATATTCAATTCATTTACAAGCATCTCGGATGTTTACATTTAGGTAAGTTATATTACAACTAGCTGATTTTCTCTTATTATTGTAGTGTGGCAGTTAATGTTGCTTATGAAACATTAACTAATGACTTATTTTAATTGTGACTACATCGAAAATTCTCTGTACGAATTAGCCAAAAAATTGTTAAAATGTTTAGAAAATTGAGTTATAATCATAGTACAAGTGCTTTTTGACTATGTCCTTCTTAATGGCATTTGTACACCTTATTACTCAACAGTCATTTTATCTTTGGTTGTCGATTTTAACTTTTTTCATCTTTCGTAATTATTTTCGATATCCAACTTTTTGAACCATTTACTAATTTCAGTATTTTTTTGGAATGGTGGAGAAGATTTGTAGGTCAGGTCCATCCATGGACCAAACCATCCAGCTCAGAGAACAAAACTCCATCAAAATTATTTTTTGAACAGTGTCTTATAGTGAACTCCAGGACGCAAGTCTAACTTAACTTAGAAATCACTAGATAGAATCAACTGGATCTCACTCTTGATTTTCATAATGTAACATAAACTAAGTACTTTCCACTTCGGTTCCTAACATATTATTCACTAAATTAGTGAACCCAACTACTAATTAGTTTATTCAGCGTATGTTACAATTTGTAAGGGTTTGTAATTTGTTTTTTTTTGTTACCCATTATTGCATTTGATCATTTTTGGTCGATAAACGTTACTAGTTACCCTATGGTTTTTCACTTTATAACTATTCTTTTTTAAATTCATTTAATGAATATTACATTTGAATGTTTCTGTAAGCTTTTCATTACTTTGTGAGTCATTCATTACCGTTTCCATCAAGACATGTATTGTCACATAGAATTCAAATTGAATGGGACTGATTATATTATTCATTGTAATACAGATATTAATTGAAAGAAAATGTTTCCACACTATTCATCTTCTTCTAAAACTTTATGTGTCCATTTTTACTTGACGTAAAATAGACATATCCCATTACCTTTAAAGATTCTTTGTATTGATACCTAATCAAATCAATCAGACATAGATTGAGTCTTAGACTTAAAAAATGGTCTTATTGAGAAAATGTAAAACTCACTGGATGTTTGAGTTCATCTAACTAGATACAAACGTTTTCGCATCCACCAACCTTTTTCTAAGGTTCTGAAATGTTGATAAACATAGAACATATTATGATGGATTCGTTGACGATTATACAAAAACCAATTTTTTGAAACTAGTCAATCGTTTCATACAAATAAGTCGTCTTTATTTTTTTAATAGTAAGTTTCCTTTCTTCTTTAACTCACATTTTCATGTCTTGTTTTTTTTCATTTTTAGTTATCGCTTCAGGTATGCTTTATTCTCTTTTGATGATAAAAATGAATGGAATCCATGTATCACAATTATTATCGTCTGCTTATTCAGTGACTTTTGTGACAGGTAAATCAAACAAGTTTGATTTTAATGTTTTTATGTAGACAGAATATACCCATTGAGACACCAGGTATGAAAGATTGGTTTAGTGAAGAGTTCTCTATTCAGCAAGCCCACAAATCTATACTTATTTTTCAAGATGGAATTAATTAAAATAATAGTGATAATAGAATTCTACCAAACATAGTAATAGTGAAGTAGAATGGAAAAAGGTATTAAAATGTTATTTTTTTATCAGGGAAACTAATAATAGTTTTGTTGTTAAGGTCTTGAATATTCATCATGAAGATAGATAAGGAAGTTATAATTGGGAAAGGATGGCTCAACACGATAACATAAAATGGTGAACTTGAAATGAAATGTGATCAGGAAGATCATGGAAACAGAAATAAACCAGTTGGAGGTAAAAGGTTCATAGAGAAGATACAAAGGGAAGCATATGATTGTGAGGGAATAAAAAAGAAAATTATGAGAGATTCGGACCAAGTTAGAAGAAAATATTGTACCAATCTCTTTTTGGACACATAAGTTTGGTTCTTGAATTCTTTTGGATAAAGTACTCACCAAACGGCCTATATTCTTGGCTACACATGAATAGGTAGATTGGTAAATGCATATACAGTTGGTCAAATGAGATAATGTGTCCTTAAGATCACTGATCGGCTGGAGAACATTATTCACAGAGTTGCTGAGAAGAACGTTCTTTTTAGAGAATCGGAAGTTCTTCTCTTTGGGACGCTTGTAACTTTATCATTTCCGAAATCGATGTTCATATGAAATGTTTTCTTCTCAACTTAGGTTAATTGTCCTTGAGGCGGTTCGGGTTTTAAGTTCTTGTTGTTAACTATCGAAGAATATCCGTCTTCAATTAATATTATCTTAAGGATGCTCAGTTCTTTTTCTATGACCTCGAGACTATAAATTCTTCGTATTCGCGTAGCGAGTGGTGTGATTGAGTTCCTCTCTCGACCAATCGGAACCCAGTTGTACAAGCCCGACAGCTGACCAGTTTTTCTCATTTAATGTTTTTATCGTTTTTGTAAATGGTATTCAGTATAGACTGAAGCCATTTATGTTACCATTCAAAACTATCAGACAATACATCTCTGCTTTTTCCCAGTTACAGATTCCTCACCGAAGGTTAACCATAAAGTTAACCCAGAAAAATGCATGTTTTGTGTAATTCCGTTGTCTCCAGATTAATAGTTTGTTTTCTTAACTCAAACCAATTTACGATGACGCTTGACGATCAGCTGATACCATCGATAGTGACTATCATGATCCCAACATGATTGAACTCCATCCCAACTAGAGTGTTGACATTTTTCTTGAACCTAGTCTCTACTGAGCAATCGATCATAAAACCAATATCGTTTTTATGGAAACTGTTTTGATTTATAGATAGTTTTTGTTTCTGATCGACATCAACTCAGGCAACATTATCTTACTGCTTTTCAATCAAACAATAGTTTCTGACATTGTATTTGCTTCTTCATTTAGTAATTTAGTACACTCAGACGAAGCATATTTAAAATGTATTTTCTGTGTTTTTTATCATATAAAAAACTAATAAGAAACACTTAGCATTTTTCTAAATTATTTTGATGGGTTTTCGTTCTCTGAACCAGATAGTTTAGTCGTAAAGCTTTCACTGTCCTTCTGTACAATATCATCAGTAAAAATTGACAACCTGTCCTGACTAACTTGATCTTGAATGGTTATTCTTGAAATTCTGCTTTCGCGAATAAATCATTCTGCTAAGAGAACGAAACTTAAATATGATCAACCGCCTGAGCTAAAAATCTCAACCACTTCGATTTGCATTATACACCATGGTTTAGATTGGTGTGTATTTTGATTATGAAAATTCTGCCATAAAACGTAGGGGAAACACAGTCATATATGGTTGTACTAATGATAAAAAAAATATTACGAGATTATCAATCTCTATAAATAAATAAGATGAAGCTAACTCAGTAGATTAAAATCAGTAGATTGGTAAAAACAATTCTGTTATTTAATACTGTCATTTTAGGGGTTGTGGAGATTGTTTAGTTTTTGATTGAGATCATGATCCGTGACCAGTGGAGCTATTCCGTATCAGGTAGAAACAGGTGTCTACCTCAGTACAATGGAAGATGGTTGGTTGAAGTTAGACATTGACACCACTGGATGCCGGCTCAGTGGTCCAGTGGGTTAAGCGTTCGTGCGCAAGAGTGAAGGCCCTGGGTTCGAATCCCGCGAGCTGGATCGTGAGCGTTCACTGCTGAAGAGACCCACGATAGAACGAAACGGCCGTCCAGTGCTTCCAGGTTTTCAATGGTGATCTAACATCAATTGATTCATGATCTCTATCAAAAAAAATATTTAATACTGCCTTGTATTGAGCTTTAGTTATAACTTTACCGACTAAATTTTTCTAATATTTTATCTGTTATCTTGTTTTTCTTTTGAAAACAGTTTGTTTTATACTGATAAAAACCCTGGAAAAAAAACTGACATTCATTTTATCCTAAGAATTTTTCTATTTTTGCCCTAATGCTAACAACGAATGATTTTAGTCTACTAGTCTTCTCTTAAACTCACTTCAAGTCTCTAATATGATTTACGATCAGTTAAATAAATAATCAATTAATCTTAAATTAATAATTGACATTTCTTAGTTTTTTCGTGACTTGCAATACAACTGACAATTTATTTAAACAAAAAAGAAATTTGTTTGTTTTATTTTATACGCTACAAAATTTCTGAAAAAAATTCTGAAATAAGAATGAGCATTTCTCTCTGATGAATGAAATAAAAACAAACAAACTAGAAAATGTTTGTATTTAATTCATCTAGTTTTATATTTTATGATCAGAGAGAGAGAGAGAGCGTAAACGATAAACTAACAATTGATTCATGATCTAAACTATTGAAATTATTATAATATCTATAAAGACCCCTGCTGATACTAATAAACATATGATCAATAGTGATTGGATTCAAGAAATATTTCCTGGAGTTCTAGTGAGAAGCCGTCACCAGTGGAGTTCAACCAGGTCTGTTGTGAGATAGTCACTCATTGAAGACAATGGTGGATGTGTCGTTCAATTTCATGGATTAGTTGAAGTTCGACATTAACACCATTAGATTCCGTCTCAGTGGTCTAGACGTTAAGCGTTTGGGAGCGAGAGCGATAGGTCCTGAGTTTAAATCTTGCGTGGCAGGATCGTGGATGCATATTGTTAAGGAGTTCTACAATAGGATGAAAGGGCCTTTCAGTGCTCTCAGGTTTTCCACGGTGGTCTAGCTTCAATCGACTCATGATTTCAACCTGTGAAAAATTTATTAACCAATAAGTCATACTTGAATGACTAATATGTACGTGTTGAATATTAACTATGCAACAGGTATTTATGTTTGTTATTTATATATAACCTTAATTATAAAATCACATTTAATTCATATTCAATATTTTAGATATCTCAGTTTGAGACTATTTTTGTGATTTTATTTTCCAATCATTCTTCCGTCTTTTCTTCTCTCAAATAGTTCATCTTTTAACAAAACAATTGAATTGGATAGTGTACATATACACTATTCTAACAATGATTACTATTATATTCCATGTAAAACTTTCAAAGACACAAATCAAAGGATGGATGTTAACAGTGAAACAATATTTTCTTACTAAACTATCAATTCCAAATACATATTATTCATCAAATGAAGCAACTAAAATAAATTGAACATTGAACAATTATGATATTTGTTTAAATGAATTTTCTAATCAATAAAAAAAACAAGCAACAAAATAAACAATAGTCAATGAAATAATGACAATTTCTATTTACATAAATGGGTTATTTATTATAATTAATATGATTGTATTGATGAAAAGGTAAATTATATACTTTACTTCAACCATTTGATCACAGAGAGATAGAGAGAGAGGAGAAAAATGAAGTGGAAAAAACATCAATATCTAATAAACATTTCATTTTTCATTCATATTGAAAACTATTGATCTTTCATTAATCATGAACTTATTCCTAAAGCTTTTATTAATTAAAGCGATCATTTAAAGAACTGTACCATAGTATACCATTTTCTTTCACTTTTTTTTCTCATGAATGAACAAAAGAATTTTGCCTTATCACTTTAAGCTTGAATGGAATCGATTGAAATGAAATTAGAATAAATAAATAAATTGAGCACTTGTATCGATAAATATTTCAATTTAAATGTTATTAGAAAACATCTAATGTGTTGTTGTTTGTTATTTTGGTTTGTTTCACTTTCAACATTCATCTAATTTGTACGTAATTAACAAATATTTTCCATACCACAGTGATTAACAGCTTGTTTATTTGAACGACAGATTTGTAACTAAAGTGATATTGTCTTTTATAATTATGTCATGAAGTGGTTGAAAATTATCTTGCATTTACTTACATATACCTTTAATTTTTTTCAACCTTCAAAAATTACAGGTAGAAAGATATCATATAAGGGTTATTTTTTATTGAATCGATAGGAAGGTTTTTATAAAGGTTTAAATCTGACAGTAAAATCTAAACCCAGTGGGTATTACTCTTCAGGTCAGAATGAAATGTGTTTAGATAGCAAATTACTTTAAAAGATTGTCAGTACCAAGATACTAAGTCAAGAAGTTAATATTTTCAAGCATTTGGGATTTATCATTTGTTATATATGCTAGGAATGAGACTAAATAAAAGTGTCCATCATATTAAGACATTGATATGTGAAGGAAGAATATTCTTTCTGATAAATTCACATCAGATTCTACAATTACACAACTATAATAATGTTTTAATAGAATAGTTAAGTTTAAAGTAAATTCATCCATTATAATCATAGTATGTGAGTTTTAGGATTGTTTGTGGAATAAAATAGGACTCTTGATCTTAGCCTAACTTGTATGTAATGCTAACTTGGACAAATTTATATTCAAAATGAAAATGTGATATAGATGGTCAGAATAAATATAGATGACAAGAGTGAGAAAAAATAATATTATATTCATAAATCAAATCAAATGGTTAGTTGGAGATTACGCGATGTATGAAGTGATATGAATTCAGTGCGTGACAGTAAAAGGGGTTGATATTATATCCGGACGGAGAATATGGATGGTAACTGCTAGGAATTACAAAATATTATAACATATATTCTTGTTGGATAATTATTATGTAATTGTATATATATATTCCTCTTATCATAAGCTCTCATTTGACCGATTGACTACTGTCTGTCGGTTACAGTCTCCTATAATCACTCCTACTCTCGGCTTGATCTTGTACAACTATTATTTTTCATGTTAAGGTGCGATGCCGTTTGGTCTGTCTGTATATAAACCATGTATGTCTGAAGTACACGATCGATACAGTGGTGGTTGATATTTGTGTTCTGAATTGAAAGGGCAGGATAAGGCCAGAAGCTATTATACAAAGGATCAATAAGGACTCAGAGTTAACTGAAGTCTGCTATTACTGTTTGACACCTCATTGGTTTAGCACAATAACGAGGTTATATAACACTAATAATAATATCGTTGTGTGAGTATAATTTGTAATATGTGGGCTTTTATCAAGGTAACTACGATATAAAGGAATTCGTATGAATTGGGAAAGATGAATGTGCAGATTAAGAAATATATAAACACAAAATGAATTTGGAGGGGGTTACAGGTTCACAATATCCAGTCTAATTATTAGGTGATCCAGTTGTGGGCCAAAGTGAACATGGAGGCTGGATATACTTCTTTTGGATAAATAAGTTCGGTTTTGTGGAGTCGATCTAGATGGTTTCAGCAATGTAGAGTGTTCGTTATCTAGCTCCTTAAGGTAACTTCCTCGGAACGTGATATAAGACACAGTAAACTTCATCTATTTTAATATGTTCACTATCTGCCAAGTAAGAAACAATGGTACTGCTAATAAATTTAATGATTTCTTTTCCCAACCATACTGGTACATGTTCACTAACACACAGGGATAAAGTCATCTGAGTACGGCCTATGTAACTAGCTTCACAGGAGCAGCTGAATTGGCATATATACATGGAAGAGTCCAGCATCGGTAGCCTATGCTTGATTTGTTATGTAAGTACTGGTTTTGTTAAGCAAATAATACGTAACCTGGCGATGTGAAATGTCTTTTCAACAGATCTTTTGAGTCGACGTGTTAAAATGTTACCTGCTATGTCTCCTTCAAAATCCAGTTCCATATACAGTGTTTTTTTACTATTCGAGTCACGGTTTCTTGTTCTATTAATATCTTCCACTAGGAATTTTTCGACAGAATTATCTGGATAGCCGTTAATGTGTTCTTTAGTAATTTATTTTTCAGTGTATTTACTTCGCCATATACACTGCCTCCAGAACATAACATTGTAGCGTGGTGTCGAGTGGAGATTGACTATGAACACCGCTACCAAGAAACTCGTGCCAAATGACTCCATAAAATCCCCCGGAAGCCAAATATCAGAAGGCAGTTAATGGACCAAGTCGAGATATATTTGCTGGCGATCTCGTGGTATCGAAAGGATACCGAGATCGTGCCAGGATACAATCTTGGTTACAGAACGTAACCGAATTCGCGCGAAGTCACAATCAAAGTGTAAGAATAATGGATGTTTTTAGCACAGTTAAACAACAGCATATTAAAACAGTCACTGGTACAATTGGTTATAATAATAATTATTTTCAATAAACCAATCGTGTTTTCGTGATCAAAGTGAGTCACTACAACATTTTGATTCTGTGGCTGAGACATTTAACTAAAGTTATTTTGTATTAAAGAGGTGTAAAGTTATGGAAATAGGTATACCGAGCAGTAGTACATTTTAACAGTAGCTCCTTTGTTTTATTTAATAGAACCGGTTTCTCTATTTTCTTTCCTAGCAATTGTTCACATGCGTCAGCAATCGCCTTAGTCAGTGAGATGTTAGTTAACAAAAGTGTTATATCTAATGATAACGTGGTTTCATCACTTTTAAATTTTGTTTTTTCATTTTATCCACAATCACAAATACGTCTGTAACGCTATAAGTAACCGATTCCCAGTGTAAACGTTTTAATAATTTCACCAACCATTTTGATGTTGAATGAGTTCAAAGATGCTACAGGTATCTGGAGTTTAACATCACCTTCACACGTAACACCTTTATAATCGAAGTATACCAACCTGGTCAAACCAGAAATGAAGAAGTTCAAAGATATATCTGTAAAGATATCGATATGTCTGGAAGCGTTTAATCTAAGCCTACCAACAGTTGTAAATGCGTAGAACGGCGTACACACTCATCAACTAGTGCGGATGCGTAACTATGAGCCCTCAGCTAGGTTCGTCTATTAAAACTAATGATCACATAGTCTTGGAGCAACATCATATACTGAAAACGTCGACCTCGAAAACAGCTGAGTCTACGTTCTGCTAACTTCTTATTATTAGGTAACTTGTGTTCGTGACTCCAAGGCAGAGCTATCAGATGGTGCTCATTTAACTTTTGCACTGAATTTGATATGGCGCTGAATGCTATACGATCTTTCACAGACATCGATGGAGTACGACTAAATGGGTCTTTGAATTCAGTTGAGTACAACTATTCAAACTTATTCTCTAATTCTTCCTTAGGCGATAGGTAATTAAGTACGCGGTTGGTTTTACGGGGTTCCCGTAAGGGCCGAACAGCGTCCACCCCAATATAGTTCTCACAGCAAACGGTTCATTCGTCTTTCCGGTTTTTATCTATTTCATCTCGTGTACGCCGGTGCGTTATATTCAATCAGCAGTTTGACATTCTCATCTTCTACTCTTGGAAAACTAATGTCTTTTAAATAGGACCAGGATGTCATTTGATGCGCCGTTGGCACAGTCCTGTAAACGACCGGCAGTTTCTTGACTGTCAAAACTTTCTGGATCTTAACGGATGACGAAAAATCTATCGAGTGCATTTCTGCATCGACCTCTTTGGATACCAACGAAGATTCATTACTAAGAGTCTTTAAAGATACCATTCCTCGAGGCCTGACTTACCAGCGAGATCATCAACTATGAGGGAAGTATCTGACCCACTATCTAAAAAGGCGCATGTCTGAACAATCTTCTCACCATTTTTTATCGATACAGGCACTACTGCAAATGCTTTTGGTTTCTGTATACACTTAACGCCTCCCTCCGTACAAAGCTGAGTATTAATGTAGGCATCACTAGTAGTATCTCTTTGTTCTTCCCACTTCTCGTGTAACAGGGTATGGTGTCTTCAGCCACACGTTTCAATAGCAAATGACTCTGGTAATCGAAAATTTTTTGCCACATGGTTTGCCTTCAAACAAACGTTACATAACTTATGCCTGAGTACGAATTCTTTCCCTTCTCTAACATTCTTGTCTTTAAACTTCTGGCAATGATCTAAAGAATGATTTCTTGAGCACTTCAAACAGGATGAACTACGTAAGAGAACATTGCCATCACTAGTACTCGCTACAGGTTTGATATGTATAGAGCTGGATGTAAAAAACCTCAGGTTTATGAATCTTGGGTAAGTCATGAAGTTGAGAAGTATGTGTTTCAGAAGGCATGAGCCCATTTTATAGGTATACTCAGAAATGCAGTAATGTTGTCTTAAAATTTTCAATATCGTGGTTAATTGACATTATTTCTTTTTATCGAGGAATTTAGTTTGATTTCTCTATGTAATCTGTCTTGCTTAGAATTATAGTGCTCGATCCTTTAGCAGGTTTAGTGGTAAGAATATGCTCATTTGATTTTAGTTTCCGGATAGCTTCTCGATGTTTGTCAGTCAATTATACTATTTTAGTGAATAAAGACACAAGTAGGGACAATTCACTGTATTTGAACATAAAACTACGGAGTATCTCAGTAAAATCTAAGAACCATACAGTAAATATTTGATTTGCAAAATGTCAATCAATGGTCTCAAACTTGACTGTTCCTTTTGCAAATATCAGTCAATCGTCTTAGACATGATTCTTTTTCGTTCCCGTACCAATTCTTCTTTGTTCTTGTTGTGATAAATAAATCCCCAAAATAAATAGCTCTGTAAGTTTTCGACATTGGATGCTGACCACATGTTTTAATGGACTCACTTAGCTGAAGGTGCTCGGTCATGCATCCGCACCAGATCACGTGTGTGAACGCCGTGCTCAACATCTACTGCAATCGCTAGCCAGACTAGATTAGACAATTCCGATATATTGACAGTCGTCAAATACAACTTCTGATCTCCTCGATTCTGTCTTTTGATTTCTCTTGGTGGGTACGAGTTACATTAGAAGGTGTTACTGTTAAAAGCGTTATCAAACAGTGAATACCTGTGCCATCTTCATTCTCCTTCTCTTTTCTTCGATCTTCTAAATCTTCTGACTCCAGGCATTTCACTCTCGATTGACGATAGATACTATTAATATCTGTCGAAATTAATAGCTCACACCACACTAACTTTGAGATGCCTGTTGCGTTCA